GAAGTCATGCTGTAATTCGAAGTTTCGTCAAAAAAACACTCTCTAAATCAAAGTCACGCAGTAATTCGAAGTTTAGTCTGCAAAACACTCTATAATTCGAAGTGATCTCTTCCTGTTATAACAGGAAACTATACAGTACAGTACATCCTGTTCCCATGGTAGGCTAGTGTTGGACGTTTTGATGTTTGTTTAGTTAGAGCAGTACTGAGTTAGTTCGCTGACTTGTTTTTCTAAGTTGGCAATCCGATCTCTAGATTGCGCGACATCTCCTTGAGCACAAACATAGTTGTCGACAGCTGATAGTTCAGCTATTGGCGAAATATATAGCGCTAAATAACAGATTTCTTTGCAACTATGTACATTAACTGAACAATAAGCCGTTGATTGTTTAAAAGTGTACTAAAATACGGTATGATGTTTTATTGTAACGTGCTGTACCTTTGTATGTATTAAACAACCTAACTCTCTGTAATTCCAATGGTTTATTTTTCTCCCGATAAATCAAACTCTTGATAATTCAAAACTCTTGATAATTCAAATTTATATGCTTGGCCCACCAATTTCGAATTATCAAGAGTCTACTGTACTAGCTGACCCGACAGACGTCGTCCTGTCCTAATGTGGTTTTATGTCAAATGCTCGTTCATTTTCAAGATGAGCTCGTTTGCATGGCTCAATCACATCCTGGTTGAAGTTCGTTCGCTACGCTCACTTGCCTCCAGGTTAGCTTGTTCGCTACGCTAACTCGCCTCCAGGTTGAAGTTCGTTCGCTACGCTCACTCACATTTTGGTTGCTAATTACTGTTGCCATGAATTAAAAAAAATAATAGTGCTGCACCCTGTTGGTAAACCTATTAACTTTTTAATGCTGTTGAACATCACAGAATCAAATTGTTTAGTTGAACCAGCTGTTAAAGATTCTTTAATTCCATTTAAATATGAGTACTCATAAGGTTAACATGGGAAACTACAGAGCCACTGGGGCGGAGCCCTTTTGACAGATCTGCACCAAACTTCACACAAACCATCCTTGAATAATGCTTAATAATGCCTGAAAGTTTCATTAGGCCCCGGCCACACGAGGCGAATTTAAGCCGCGCGGCTTATCTTCGCGCGAAGTTAAGCCGCGCGAAGTACCTGGCCACACGGGGCGGATGAACCGCTTCCTGTTGGGTTTTCCCAGTATCAGTACTCTATTAAAACATAGTTCAGTTCACTCTTTTTAGTCATGGGCGAAACACTTATGTTAGTTTGTGCATTAAAAGCGTGTGGTGATCTGAAACGTTAACATAAATCATTGGGTCCATCCCTTCATAACGGAAAAACAATTTTTTGTGTTCCAAACCTTTTACGAGCACATGCGAAACCATAGTTCGGAGTTCATATGTATCAAACATTGTTTGAACACCACACAACCGGTAAAAATACACAAAACAAACTCAAATACCACTGGAAATGTCCGAAGAATATCTCCAATGAGCGCGGCTGCCGCGCGGTCGAACCGTATCGTGTGGCCACTCTCATAAGACTACGTGTGTCATCCCCTCCAACGCGGCTTAACTTCGCGCGGTCGGGGGACGACATGTTGCGGCCCAACCGCACATGCGGCTAAACTTCGCCTCGTGTGGCCACTCTCATTTGATTCAATGTATTGTCGAAGCCCTTAACTTCGCGCGGCTTAACTTCGCGCGGTTAAACCGCCTCGTGTGGCCGGGGCCTTACAATCTGTCGAGCGGTTTCGGAGTCCATAAAGGACAAACATACAAACATACATTGGATTTTATATATATAGATAGATTTTGTTTGCTTCAATACAGCTGATCGTGATTTATCATCAAGCCAGTACGCAATGTTAACATGGGATTACTTATTTGCCAGCCAATTCTGCAATGTACTATATAAACCCAGGGGTAACGTTACCTATAATAATTAAAACTTTTTAGTTACGTTATAGAATGTGAAAATAAATTATATTACTGTAAAACTTTTCGTCTGTCTTTTTAACGTTTGACATGAAATAACCACATTGACTAAATAATTAACGATTCAAGATTAATAAGGAAAACTTCTACTTTGTTTTTATTTCAAAACATGTGTTCTGGATTTATTCTACACTTCTTTATTTTAAATTTGAGATTTATTGTAGTGTTTAATCAATATTTTTCATTAAGTGGAATAACCTCAATGGCTACTCTTAGAAAATAACCTGGGAATAAAGATGGAATAGGTTCGTACAGGAAATATACAGGGTGACCGTTAAGTCTTAGGACGACTTTATAACTTTTAAACGACAAACGATATCACAACCACATTTGGTATACCGTTACTGGAAACTGTAAGCTACTTTTCTGTGTACATGGTGGTCGGATATCACATTTGGGGGACGGCCCCTCGGGGGTCAGAAGAAAATCTTTAATGGCAACCTATGTTGAGTTGTACATCATTTTAAAGGTCTACTTCAACTGAAAACAATGCCGCAAACCGCACTTCAAAAGGTTGATCCTGCGCAAAATGGCAGATGTTCAAAGATTTTCAAAATTAGCCAATTTCTTTAAATTAAAACACTTTTTTAAATCTTTAAACAACTGTCATTTTTTAACGGATGGTCCTTTTGAAGTACGGTTTGCGACATTCTTCTTTGCTTAAAATTCCCTTTAAAATGATCCCCATAACTTCACATTCAGTGATCCAAATAACTCTTCAGGGCGACGGCCCACAAGGAGTCGGAAGTAAATCTTGAATGGAAGCATAGGTTGATATGCACATCAAATTAAAGGTATTTATTAGTAGAATACAATGCCGCAAACTGTACTTCAAAATGACCACCCGTTAAAAAATGACAGTTGTTTAAAGATTTAAAAAGGTGTTTTAATTTAAAGAAATTGACTAATTTTGAAAATCTTTGAACATCTGCCATTTTGCGCAGGATCAACCTTTTGAAGTGCGGTTTGCGGCATTGTTTTCAGTTGAAGTAGACCTTTAAAATGATGTACAACTCAACATAGGCTGTCATTAAAGACTTTCTTCTGACCCCCGACGGGCCGCTCCCCAAAGGTGATATCCAACCACCATGTACACAGAAAAGTAGATTACAATTTCCAGTAACGGTATACCAAATGTGGTTGTGATATCGTTTGTCGTTTAAAAGTTATAAAGTCGTCCTAAGACTTAACGGTCACCCTGTATATTTGTTAATTAAGAAAGTACTATGGCAAGTTCCAATGGGAGGATACATAATATTGTTTGGAGACTTTAAACAGGTACTGTCTGTTTCTCGCAAAAGAGTTAAGAATCAGCCGATGATTAGGCCTAATTTAATAGAATATGTAACGTCAATCGCACCTTTAAAGAGGAATACCACCACATAAACTTGCACTAACTGTAGTTTTTTTATGTTGATCAGAAAAAATCTAGGGTTAAGTTTGGTCAATGGAATGCCTTTACTTTAATGTTGTTACTAATGTTGTTAAACCTTAACAAACGGAGTATAAACTTAGAAATATTAACTGGGTAGGGATGCTAATTTAGCGGGTTTGGACAAGAACTAAGCTTACCTCAACACACCTTTATTTGCCTTTTAATATTTGACAAAGACAATTAATTTCCTAAATTCTGATCAGGGAATTCTTTTTTATTACCAGTAACCACAAGACCAAAGCTACCTTAATACAAACCAGTATTTATTTACAAACAATTATATGTTTATTGCCTTTAGCAGAGTTAAACCTATTTAGTGATTCGAATGATTTTTTTGAAAATAACATCAACAAAGGCAAACAAAGACAAGCATCAAACTGTTTTTTTACACAAAAGCTATGCCGTACAGGGATATTTTATTCTGGCACATAGATACAGTAGTGATATTTCTTAGTTGTTTTAGAATATTTTTTTATATTATTTAGCTACAAGCCACTAGTTTGCAATAATAACCTAGAACACTAGCCAGACTTAACATGAAAGGATAGGAGCATGTTGAAAGAATAGGAGCATGTTGAAAATTTATAATTATTAGAAAAATATATTTGGATTTTTGAAAATTAATTGATCAGGTTCGAAGGACCAATGAAAGCAGTGGATGTAAACTAGGAAATAGAAATTGTAAGGTAGAAAAATAGGAAAATGAGTAAAATTAAGATACCTCACATGTTTGGGTTGACTTCTCTGTAGATGGCCATCTTGCTGCTGCTGATTTTTTCTTCACTACTTCTTCTTCTTGTAGGGATAGGCGGGAAATTTGAATGTTTAAATGAAACCTGAATGAGGGGGGTTATGGTTTGTGATGTTGCAACAGGAATGGAAAAGGATAAATTAAAATGTCTCTGGGATTTCAGAAATTAAATTAAATTAAATTAAATTAAGTCTGGCTCTAACAGTAGTTTTCAAAGTGTTGCATAGCTATATGATTTGTTTTAAAAAGGGACCTGTTTGCGGCAATGTTATTTCTCCATAAGCACGAAGAGGTACCTTTTCTCAAGCTAGACATCGACTACTTTAATCGTTATTTGAATGTTTTATGTGATTCAATTTCAATGGAAAGTTTTGTAATCAATTTCAATGGACGAAATAGAGCATATCGAAACAACCGAAAATCAATATTTTTGACCTTAATCGATAAAAATTTGAGTACTCGAATTTTTACTTTGCTGCGAAGAGGTGTATTGGTTATATTATCCTGGTTGCTTTGGCTTGTTATTGTTACTTTGGTGTTTTTACCAGTATTATTACATCTTTGCTTGGTCTAACTATCTCTCTGATATTTTTTTCTTGTATTAGTTATTATTCAATTTAAAATGAATAGGTAATCAGAAAACTGAATATTATTATTATTATTATTGGAAACTAATTGGATGAAATTTGGCTTTGATTTTGTAATATTTGTACCTGTAGAAACATTTTTGATTAGAATTATAATGATCCATTGGCTTTCTAAATTTTCCGAACTATGTGTAAAACTTCTTTTTAAAATGAAAACCTCAAAGTATTATTATTTTTATTTTTAGGAAGAATACACTCACCTAGGCAATCCATGTCAAATATCTCCTGAAGAATACTTCAGTCCCAATATAGATCTTGGAGGAAGGGATATTGGAAGACCAAAGGAACTCACCACTAAAATACAAAAGTTCAGGGTTAGTATTATATATTTACAGTTTTGTTGCCTTTATGGCTATCTTCCAGATGTCATTTTGGATGTAGAGGTCCCCGTGCATCTCTTATTTTGTAGTAACTTATTTTAATAGAAGGGCTTTCTTGCTATGTGTAAATAAAACTTGAGCATTCCCAATTTGGTCCTCACTGACTTCCACATCACTACCACTGCCCTCCTGAACCACACCAATCTCATCTTGAACAACATCAAACTCATCTTGTATGGTACAGCTAGGGATGGACTGGTCTCAAATTTTCAAGAAATTTGTGAGATTTAAAAAATCTTGTTTGTTCAAGCAAGATTGACTTTGCTCCAAGACTTTCTCAAGACAAGATTATTAAAAAAAATATTTAAAAAAATCAAAAATTACAATTGTCTCTTCAATTTAATTCCCTTCAACTCAATATACATTATCATCACAATATGATGTAGTGTAACTTGAATTAAAAACATCTTCAAGACATTTAAAAATAATTTATTAACTTCCAACTTATAAACCTTGATACACTGACTTCTTTTTCTTTAAATTAACTTTTATTAAGATCATTCTCTGCTCAAATTTGATTTTTAACATTTACTTTTCTTTACACAGTTTTCAATATTTCTTGAATTTGAAATTATTATTATTTAGTTTCATGAGCCCTAAAAAAAATACAATAACATTAGAATTCTAGAATTAAAACTAAAATAAGCTGAAAAGGAGTAGATAAGACATACTGAAAATAAAAAGGTTAAGACTATTAAAAATTCGAACAAACTTACCCAATTTGGGGTACCAGAAGCTAAGATGGTTAATCACAAATGAACTGAACTACAGTAATACCAAACTAAACCCGACTGAGGAAGAGCCTTGCAGCACGTGCTGTCTTATATACCTCCCCCTCCCCCAATGACGTCTCATCTACTTTACAAGAGTTATTCTGAATTGACTTGTAACATTTTGTTATTTGAGCAGAGTTGCAAACTATTTCTTTAATAATAACACAAAATTCAAATTTTATTTCAATACATAAATAAAAATATATTAACCTAATCGAAAATGCTACAAAATTCCCCTGACTAAAATTTTTTGTTGGCAAAGAAATAAAATTTATTTATACGCCTTTACTAAATTCAAACAAAAGATTCTAATTCAAATTGTCTATTTTATCTTGTTACTATGTTTTGGTCCCATCACTTTGGCGTAGAACCCAACAGGTGAGCTCCCTTTTGGCATTTACTGGACCTTCGGGGAAGCATGACTGGACCTCCGGTGTATTTAGGAAGGTCAGGGATCAGCTGATCGGCTCATCCACTCTCATTAGCTAGTGTGTCTGCCCCGTCTGCTATGTAGGTGGACTGCATTTGACTTCTACACCATATTCTCGTACAGCTCATAAAACAGTTTTAGACCAAGTATAAATAATAGGCATTGTAAAAATAAACAAGTTCCTTCACCCTTTTTAACATTTTCAGATGAATAATCGATTAAAAAGACAATTTAAGAGAAGACAATCTTAATATGGTAATTAATACATATAAAACATTTCTTTTTTCATTTTCCACATTCTCATCTCAAGTACGTCAGTGTTTTGTGGTGGTCTTCACACTTCGAGAGTGTATGTCAAGTGCTAAAGTTTGTGTATATGTATGTTTTCGTGAATCGAAGTGTGTACGTAAGTGCGTGTAAGTACGTGTGTGAGTGCATGTCTAGTCAAGTGTAGTGATAGTGAAAGTGGGTCGTTGCGGCCGGCTCAAGTTCAAGGTCAAAGTATGTTTGTGTCTTGAGAATCGAACTGGAATTCTACTTTGAGGTAAAAGACAAACATGATTTTGTAATAAATATACCAATAATGTCATCATTCATAATAATCTGATAATAAAAATAAAAACATTGTTTACATTTCTTTGATTTAAAACCTGTTCATACTGTACCATTAATAAAAATGTGTATACATAAATATTTACAATACTCTTGATGTTTGTTTGCATTGTTTATCCAAGCTTTAGTTGTGAAACATGAACTCTTTTGATAACATCAGGATTAATTAAGGATTAATCAGGAGTAATTAAGGGAGATGAAGGTAAATCTGGTAAATCATGTATGTCAAGGTTTTACTCGAAGATTTGGTCAGTTTTTCTCATATCAGCCTACACAAGATTTAAAATTAATCAAAATCAAAATGGTGGTATCCACTACTTACCAGATTTAAAGGTCATAACTAAAACGTTTCTATTAAGGCCATAAAAGTTGAATTTTGTTTCTAAAAGCGTTGGCGGATGTGTAACTATTGTATGCAAGAGATAAAGATTAAAATGTTTCTATTTTGTGTCCTCTCCCCGTTGCAAAGCACGGGTACAACAGCTAGTATTTTATAAGGTCCATCATACCTGAAAGCACTTTTGGCTTGAAACTGTTTACCTTTGTTACTCAACTGATATGTCTTGACATAAACAATACTATCTTTCTTGAATGGATGCATACTTTTCTCTTCTCCATATTTTCTTAATTTTTCATTTGACTTGTTTCTCATTTTATTATTTACAATAGCTTGACTTAATTTTCCTGCTAATTCCTTCTTGTCCACTTCTTCCTCCAGTAGATCATTTAAATGCCACACATTAGATTTGTTTACTTTGTAGCTAAACATTAGTTCGTGAGGCGTGTACTTAGTAGCTTCATTACAAGCACTGTTTAAAGCTAACTGAATGTCACTTAAATTAGTGTCCCATTTATTTTGGCAATCATGAAAATAAATTTGGAAAATTGCTTTAATGTTTTTCAGGTATCTCTCGGCTATGTTACTCCTAGGAACATAAGGAATTATTGTTCTGTGCATAATGCTTTTACTGAATAAATAGTTTTTAAATTCACTGCTCATAAAACATTTAGCATTATCACTTATTAATTCTTTACATAGTCCAAAGTTTTTAAAAACAAAGTTCTCTAAAATATTTACAATTGATTTAGACTTCGCATCCCGCATTGCATATATCCAGACAAACTTCGTACACTGGTCCACTATGATTAAGTTATTGTTTTGAGCTTTCGTTATTGTCAATGGCCCAAAAATGTCTATGTACAACCTATCCATCGGCGCTTGAGCACTACTTGACACCAAGGGACCTTCAAACACTTGTTGAGCCGGTTTACCTTTACTACATAGCTCACATGATTTTATTCTTTGTTTTACTACTTCCAAAATATTTGGCAAGTAAAAATATTCCGTTATTTTCTTGATTGTTTTGTACAATCCTAGATGACACCCGCTTAGTGAGTTGTGAAAATATTTATATACCATGTCTACCAAATTGTTAGGTAAATATATTTTCTTCGCATCTTTACCATTTGATTGGTGCATTAATACACCTCGGTTTAGTGAAAACTTCTGATTGTTAGTTCCCTCATTTATGCTGTCAATTATTTTACAAATCTCCTCGTCTTCACTTTGGTGAGACTTAAATCGCTAAATTATTTTTATAATTATTTTATAATTATTTTTAGTGTTTATAACTTATTGATTGACCATGCATCTGTTCACCATTGCCTTTGTAATGAAGAATGTTTTATGCAATAAAATACTTATGACTTATGACTAAATGTCAATGGAAAGTCTTTAATATTATTAATAAAAAGTACTTCCTTTACTTCTAATTTCTTATTTGCTTCATCATTGTTGGACTTAACACTAGTATTTACATTATTTACAACTTTCAACTCCTCCTCGACATTCACTTCTTTAGTTTCAAAATGTCTTGACAAAAAATCGGCTACTGCATTATCTTTCCCTTTAACATGTTGAATTTCAAATGGTAGACTAAGAATAGTTTCTACCCACCTACCTAACTTTCCAAGTTTACGGAAATTTCCTAAAACCCATGCCAAGGCACTGTTGTCCGTTATCAGAGTAAACCTTTTGTGTTCTAGATAGTTTCTAAACTTATTGATAGCACTGACTACAGCTAAAGCCTCTTTATGGTACACAGATAAACATTTCTCAGAGTCTGAAAATTTCTTAGAATAATAAGCCACAGGTTTAACATCCCCATTAAAGCTTTGAAGAAGAACTGCCCCAGCCGCTAGTTCGCTTGCGTCACATTGTAAGATAAACGGCAAGTTGTAATCAGGTATCGCCAAAACAGGTGGATTGATTATAGCTTCTTTCAATTTTTCAAAGTTACTTTGACATTCCTCAGACCAAATAAACTTTTTATTCTTTTTCCTTAGTTCATTTAGACATGCAGCTAATTTAGAGTACTCTGGTATGAACTTGGAAAAATATGATGTCATACCAATAAACCTACCTACACCTTTGGCATCTTTAGGCGGCTTACTATTCCTAATAGCTAATGTTCGGTCAGGGTCTATAGATACTTGATTTTTAGAGATTAGATAACCAAGAAAACTTATTTCCTTACTGGCAAATACAGCTTTACTAGGATTAACTGTAAGGTTATGTTTCTTTAACTTCTCAGTAACTTGTTTTAAATGATTTAAATGTTCCTCTAATGTTTGACTGTAAATAATCGAATCATCCACAAAGTTAAGTATAAACTTAAATTTTTCTTCTTTGAAAACTTGGTTAAGATAAGAAGATAGAATTCCGCTACCAGAATGAAGTCCAAAAGGCAAACGATTCCACTCATACAGTTCATAATTAGTTGAGAAGGCCGTAATATGTTTACTATCTTCCGCTATTTTAATCTGATGAAAACTTTGTGTCAGATCTAGCACAGTAAAATATTCAGAATCCCTTAGATAGTGGTATAATTCATGAAGATCACCGATAGGATAATTAACTTGTTCTATTTTCTTATTCAACGTACTGTAATTTATTACCAACCTATGTTTGTCTGAGTTAGGCTTCTTAATAACAAAACTAGGACTGGCATAGCTTGATAGACTGGGTCTTATTATATCTTGTTTTAATAAGTCATCAATAATATCCTTGACAATTTTATTCTTAGGAGGACTTAATGGGTAACTTTTCTGTTTAACAG